TGGAAGGGTGAAGGACGGACATGACAAAACTATACATGTATTCCTAATCATGATGTGGCATAAAAAAAACCTGAATCTACATTATATGAGGATGTTTCCATCTATCAAGATTATACAAGCAAATTCAAAGAATTGTGGTCCTCTGCTTTCTGTGTTTTAGTGAATAGGATGCCATAATTTATGGCAGATTGTGTGTCAAATATGCACCCCTATCATATATCAATTTTTGAAAATTGGGTCAAAGGGGTAAAATCATAGCATGCTCTGAAACATTTTCTTGCAGGTAATGTACATGTCAGATATGAAAGTCCTATCTCTTTTGAATCAAAAGTTATATATACAATATAATATTTTTGAAAAGTAGGTTAAACTTCTAGGTCAAGGGCACGAGTCAAAAGTCATGATATATTTAGAAAAGTCTTTTCACATGTAATAAACATGTATAATTTGAATGCCCTTTCTTTTCATTTTCAAAATGATCAATTTAAAATGTTATTTTTTGGAGAGTAGGTAAAACTTTAAGGTCAAGGTCAAGGGGAATTATGAATGCATGTGTGAATGTGACTAAAAATCTTATTATGTAACTTGACATGTCACTTTTTGAAATAAAAAAAAAACCAACAACTTTAAGGTCAAGGTCTCACTTGGGTTAAAAAATCATAGTATATTTAGAAAGTTTTGTGGTAATTAATGTACATGTGAAATATGAAAGCACTATCTCTTATTATTCAAAAGTTATGACCAAGGTAAAATTTATTGTGACAGATGCACATACTAGCTGTCAATAAGATGGACAGACTGACAGACAAATGAGATTTAATATCCCCCTCCCTTTCTCCAAAATGGGGGACAATAATGCCCTTACTGTTCTTGAGAAGAAGATTTATGATGGAAAAAATCCCCTGCATATTTCTTAACGCAAATCAATATTGTGTTTTTAAGTCATTTTGTTTGTTGTTAAACATCCCTCTCAAGAATTTTTCACTCATATGGAGACACCACCACTTGAAAAATAATGAGGACAAATTAGATTTGAGGTCAACATTCATTTTAGGAGTTTTCAACCATTAAGACGTAAAGAAATATTAACTCGATCCTTCCCCTCACCCCTTCCCAGACCCCTGTTTGTTCATGTATGCAAACTACTACTTGTTTTACATTAAAAAAATGTTTATACAAATACATGTAGTTTAATGTGGTCCATCTCTGAATGATTTTTATTCCTAATTCTAGGAAGATAGGTTGACACAAATTCATGAATAAAATGTCAAGTAATCTTATCATTGATGCACTTTTATTTAATTTGATGCAGTCATATTGTGAACATGTCCAGCTCATTAGGAGAGTGGGGGTAACCTCTAGGGGTTCAAAACCTTTATACCATTAAATTTACATAACATAATAACACAAGTAACAAAATTATGTATAGTCAAATGGAAAAAGTTTCCTACTATTTAGGAGTCACATGATCATATGTCATTACAGGGACAGGAAAGTGGATTGGGAGATCGCCCCCTCAACCCCACCCCGCCCCCCACCCCCACCCCCCGGAATTTGCAGGACTATAATATATACTGGAGGAAATAAAAATGACTTTGGATGCCCTAAGTGTCCCTCCACCCTAGAAAACAGACCCAACCATAGCTTCTTTTTTTTTTTTTTTGCTTCTCAGGAAATTCCGGTCTGGAACCAACACCCCCCCTCTCTCCCAGAAAAAAAATTCTGGATCTTGTAACTGAATGTAATGTTGATAACGGGGGATAACTCTTCAGAATGTGAAATTCGTCTATTGTAGCATCGGATGACCTTTGATCCTTTAAACTTGAACCTAACCGTTTGCATTTCAGACTATTTTACCCAAATCTATACCAAAACTTGTACTTACCGATTGTCATTATTTAGGCCCTGTCATCTTCATGAAATATAATCCAGTTAAAACACAAAATGAAATAATTCCTACTGACATATATGCAATGATGCACACTAGTAGCCTACTGCACGTGCAGTGAAATCTAAAATGATAATGCCAATGGTAAAACTAGTACATAAGTTGGGTACGTGACGCAAGCCCAATGTGATGCAGGTGTTCAGATACGTGTATAGTGCAAGAACAAATTGAAAATTATCATTTACAAAAGATGTTTTATTTTAACTTTGCCATCTAGGCCTATTTCCAAAAACAGGCAAATAAGGTGTGTTTGTGTGTGTGTGTTGATGGGAGAGGGGTGGGGGTTGACTAAATTGATTGTGTATATGGCAGCATTCAAGAAGTTTCTGCCTAATCAAATATAAATAAACTTTGCACATTTTGAAAAATTCATCAAAAACGCTTTACAATAATTTGAATAATATATTATTTTTTGTTAATCTATATTAGAAAATAGATTTTAAAAGTTCCAATTACCGTACAAGTACAATTTTTAGCGAGGATTTAATTTTGGCATTATTAGCGAGGGTGCTGACATCGCTAAAATTGAATACCGCAGAAAATTAATTGCTTATTATTTGTAAAAGCTTCTTGAATTAGCATTTTAAAATCGCTAAAATTACTTCTCGCTAAAAATAAAATACCAGATTTTTGGTAGAAATCGCTCAATTTGCGTTTCGCTAAAATTTCCACTTATACAGTAATACAGTATGTGCCAAAAATGTATACACCCCCCCCCCCCACCCACCCACCCCGTATTATTATTGCGCCGTAAATTGCACCTTTTTTGCATATGGGGATCTGTAGCATTATAGTCAAAGACAAATATATAAAACCATAACGCTGCAGATCTGCAGCTACATGGTCACCTGAGCATATTATGCTCAATTTGATGAATACATGTATTATGTAAATTATTGAATTTTGTTATACCCTTATAAATATCCTTCTATATATTTATTACTAATAAAAAGTCCAACAAAAGAATGTTTATTACGTCGGTCTAACAATTTCACTATTGACCGGTCTTACATAAGAATTGTTAGACCGCAACGTCACTTGTCTGTTACGTCACAATTAATAATCATCGTTCAATATCGGCGACGCGAAAATAGCCGAAGTTAAGAGCTATTAAGAGTTGTTGCTAACAGCAAGGTAAGGTAGAAGGGAAGAGTATGTTTTGTGATAAATAATTTTTGTGATATAATAGATTTATAATTGATTTTGTTCTTTCTCAGCTTGATGTTTTATATTCACTGACGAAGCCATAATTTTCCATATAAAATAATTTATAGTATAGTGTGTATTGATAAAATTGATCAATCTTAAGTGAACAGTGAAGGGTATAACAAAACAGTTATATACTGGGATTCGGGCAACATATGATTTGTTGGACCTGAAGATGAAAATGTTGCCCTTGGCCTGCGGCCTCGGGCAACATTTTCACCTTCAGGTCCAACAAATCATATGTTGCCCTCATACCCAGTCAATAGCTGTATAATATTGACTTTTTCCTTGGTAAAGCCCAATATGAAGAAGTGTGCATTTAGAGGCAAACACCTTAGTGCGGGTATTACTGTCTCATGACAGCATCTAGTTTTGTTTGTTGATGCATCTTTGGTTTTTAGAGAATGTCGACCAAAAAGTAGGTCATGATGACCTACTTTTGAATATCTCAAGGACGTATTGGCTTAGAATCATCAAACTTTGTCAGTTGATGTATCTTGGGTTTTCAAAGAATGTAGACAAAAAAGTAGGTCATGGTGACCTACTTTTAAATATCTCAAATACTAATTGGCTTAGAATCTTCAATCTTTGTTTATTAATGCATCTTGAGTCCTCAGAAAACTTCAATATTAATATAGGTCACTGTGATGTACTTATGGTTTTTTATGGCTTTATTATTAAAAAATTCAGTCCTAATTGACTAAGAATCATCAAACTTTGTCAGTTGATGCAACTTGGGTCTTAGGATACTTAGGGTTAGAGGCTTCAAATAGAAGTGATAGATTGTACAATTTATCAGAAGAGCGATTCAAGGCCCTTGGGCCTCTTGTTTTATTAGACTGTAGCATTTCCATAATTTCATAAAATATGCAATAAACAATTTAAAGCTGCAAATGGATATTTGTTAAGCTCTAATACAGCCAGTTTAGAAAATTTTATATGATGTATTGTTTGTTATAAATAATCCCTACACTGTAAGTCTCTAAGAGATGTATGTACAGTATTTTAAACATGATAAGAAATGGAAATTAGATCATTGAAATCTTTGTCAATCTGTTCATCAAGGATACTTATTTTCTTGCACCCCAACGAATTTATGATTATTGAACAATATTTGACGGGCGTATCATGCTGTGGCGTGGCACTTTATTAATATATTTAATGTTAAACCAATAATTTACCTTATAATAAAAATGATTTACAAATAATAACAAATACAGGCTTAGAAATATACAATTTATTTTCTTCTTTAAAAAAATCGAGGTGCTGAAACGTCAATTAAAGGGCCAAAACGTCGCGGTGCCGAAACGTCATTGCAATGAAGTGCTGAACGGTCGCGATGCCGAAACATCTTGCATCTTTCTATAGCATGCAACTGCTGTCGAAATTCTACTTATACCCCCTGCTTGAAAAGTGGGAGGGTATACTGTAATCGCGATGTCTGTTAGTCCATCCGTCTGTAACGCTTTGAGGTACCCATCTTTTATCCACAACTCCTGTCATACCACTGAATAAAATTAGATGAGACTTTCAAAGAATCTTGATTACATATTGCCATTGTCCATCTCCTATTTTACTTTTTGATCTGACACTTTTGGGTTTCTCATAACAAAACCTGGACAATGCCATTATATTCATATGGGAGGCAGGGGGTATTTTTTAGTGAGCTCATTGCTCACAGTACCTCTAGTTTGTTCTGCAGAGAAACATAAGATCATATATCATGTCATCAAGCATTGATTAGAGAAAAAATTACGTAATGTTTAATAGATAAAAGGTCACCAAGGTTTTTTTTCAATCAAAATTAAGAAGATTCGATTTTAAAAATTCACAAGGTCAAAGGAGTTCTTAAATAGATTCTTAAAATAAATATTTATGTGTTCAACTTTTTATCATTACATTAAATATGATCAGAGCAGTGCCCTGTTCTATAGAGCAACGAAACTGATTTCTTTGTCATATTTGCAGAAGGAGAGGAGCGATTTTGAACCCCATTCAAATATTCAGAACGATACTGAAAAATTACAGAACTATTGTTCAGATGAAGATCAAACTGGAAGTTTAGAAAGACACATCAACACAGATGTAAGTAAAAAGCCTCAGATATGTATCTATTGATTATATAGTGAAAATGGATTATTTCTTTGAAAATCTTCTCTGCTCTTGGGTATTAAGTAAACTAAGTACATAGTAATGTTGAGCAAGAGTGCCTCTGCCAAAAATTTTAATTTTATGGCAACAGGGTCAGGGGTTCTGGTGTGAGGGCGGGGCTCTATTGATCATATGGTGAAAAGGAATTTATTCTTTGAAAATATTCTTCTCTGCTTCTGGGTATTAAATAAACTAAATAAGCACATGGTTATGATAAGAAGGAGTGCCTCTTCCAAAATTGTGAATTTATATATTTATTTATATTTTTATGATGAAAAAAGGTGCATCTAGCAAAATGGTTATTTTTTATTGAAAGTGCATTTTCCCTTTGTTACTCTGATCTACCTCTGGGTATTAAGTAAATAGAGTAAGCATGCTAAGTTTATAATTATGAGAAGCAATGGTGCCTCTTTCAAAACTGTGAATTGTGAAATTAATGGCCTCTGGGGTAAAACACCAACCAATTTTAATTGTTTGAAAGTTGTTACACGATACTCAGGTGACCTATAAGGCCCGTGGGCCTCTTGTTTTTCTACTTTTTTTATCATTATTTTCAAAATTAAGATTTTGTTTTAAGGTGGGATTCTTCTCTGGTTTCTGACTAGATAGAACATTCAAAGTACATTTGTTGATATGTCTTATATATTTAGATGTAGGAGATTTAAAAGACCATATTCTTCTTTCCTCATCACAATTACACAACTTTAGATAGAAATGGTAAACTGCGTTTGAAAACTTGCAGGGACTATATTTTTGGCGGAATGGTGGCGTATGAAAATATCTTCTTGTCTGCCTCTAAAAATTATTATAGAACATTGAATTAAGTTATGATTTTTATGCAATCAAAGACAAGACGAAATTTTCAAATGTAAGTTAAATTAATAATAAGGGACTAAAGTGTCAAAATATATCAAATAAATAAGATTTTTCCCACATACTAGAACTATGTTGGCTTTTAAATGCTTCAAATCTAAGTACAGATTTGAGCCAAAAAAAGTAAAAAGTGTTTTTTCCCTCTTAGTAAACGATCAAAACTTTTAGTTTTTGTATCATTTTGTGCCTTTATGTGACAACTTTACTATATGTGAAAATTGGAAAAAGTTAAACATAGGAAGCATATAAAAATAACTAATAAATCGTAAAAATTTAAGAAAAGTAGAGGAAATTCGGAATAGCAAATATCCATTTTATTTAAATCATCCATGTCAATTTGGTAATATCATCTTATAGGCCCTAAATGGTAGTATCTTTTTATGTAAAAAGAAAAACATTCAATCTGTTGAATTACAAGTAAGGATCACATAACTGGAAACAGTAGTTTTTTTATTCTTAATGTCCAGGAAAAAAGTAATGACCTTGACCCGACCTTGCCTCTAATATTAAACGGTCAAATTTAATCTCACTAATACCATCACTTAGTGATATTGTCCTCTTGATTCTGTGAAAATTTCATTAATTTTTAAATACAAGAAATGTGAGAAGAATCCTACCTTAAGCAATATATTTAGAATAAAATTAATTTAATTGTTTTGAAAGTATTTTAAAAAAACATTTTGAACATGTATTACATGCATTCACCTGTATAGTGGAAAAAAGAGAAAGAAAACAGAAAAAAAGGAAAGTAAAATATTGTTTGAAATGGGACTCATTTATTTGATCAAAAAACGTAGCTTGACAAAGTACTTAAAACAATTTTTGCTTAATTTACAGAGGGAAAAAGAAGTCTGGTCATCCAATTCGAAGATTCAAACTGAGGCTGCAGACAAACCTTATAAATGTGATATGTGTGGAAAGGCATTCAACTGGCCAGGAAAACTACAGATGCACATGAGAACACATACTGGTGAAAAACCTTATAAATGTGATGTTTGCGGGAAGGCATATAAACAGACAAATCACCTACAGGATCACATGAGGACACATACAGGTGATAAACCTTATATATGTGACATGTGTGGGAAATCATTCACTCGGATTAAATAGTTTACAGAGGCACATGAAGACACATACAGGTGATAAACCTTATAAATGTGATGTGTGTGGGAAGGCATTCAGCCAATCATGTCACTTACAGGCACACATGAGGACACATACTGGTGATAAGCCGTATAAATGTGATGTGTGTGGGAAAGCATTCAGTCAGTCACAACACTTACAGAAACACATGAGGACACATACTGGTGATAAACTTTATAAATGTGATGTGTGTGGGAAAGCATTCAGTCAGTCACAACACTTACAGAAACACATTAGGACACATACTGGTGATAAACCTTATAAATGTGATGTGTGTGGGAAAGCATTCAGTCAGTCACACCACTTACAGAAACACATGAGGACACATACTGGTGATAAACCTTATAAATGTGATGTGTGTGGGAAAGCATTCAGTCAGTCACAACACTTACAGAAACACATGAGGACACATACTGGTGATAAACCTTATAAATGTGATGTGTGTGGGAAAGCATTCAGCTTCTCACAGAACTTACAGAGTCAAATGAGGATACATACTGGTGATAAGCCTTATAAATGTGATGTGTGTGTGGGAAGTCATTCATCCTATCGCAGAACTTACAGACTCATATGAGGACAATCTGTATACGAGGGTCATTCAAAAAGTTCATAGACTTTCGTCTTAACTTTTTTATTTAACATCATATTATATCCAAATTTCGTACACATATTTTAAAAACAAATTTGAATAATTTGAGTAAAAAAATTAGAATGTATCCTCATATTTATGAAAATTACCAAGGATTTAGAACAGCAAAAATGGGGTCACGGAGCACCGTCAAAATTGAGGAATTTTCTTATTTTCACTTCTTAGTATTTACAGCTATACCTCTAATAAATGGAGCTGAAACGAAATAAAATTTACATTTTTAAATAAAGTATTACTGTATTAATTAAAATGAAATCAGGTTATGTAATATCTCGTTCCATTTAAAAGATATCAGCTTCTAAATACATATGGACTTGATTAAAAAAGGCAAAAAAACCATGACGTTGGAGACGTCACGGAGCAGCAAGTAGCTTTAAAATTAGACTTTACATTCGGGAAACTTTTTCTACAAGTTTATTAAATCCTTATAAATCAGGATCTGTATGAACAAAAAATCTGTGTATTTGAATAAGTTGTACAATTTTTGAGTGGTAGCGAGTTTGAATTGGACGATGGATTGTCTGCAAAGAAACAGGTTAAAGTTAAAATTATTGTCAAAAGAGTAAGAACGTCATTGAACGTGATGTGTGCTTCAATGTTGCATAAATAATAAAGTTGCATGGTAAATCAAAGAATTTGAAAACAATAACATTCTAATTCAAGCTATATTTGTACAATTGTTAGCAAACCAGGTGTTAAGTATTGTGGATATGTGTTTTGAATGGAGAAGACGCAACAAACCATGTTTGAAATAACAAAATGTGTATACTTTTGACAAACTTTCTCAGCGTTGTTTTTGACGTTACAATATTGGTTAACCGTGCAACGTGGTAACAAAACATGTTGCTTTTAATTTTGGCTGACGTGAGTTCTGTTTAATCAAATGGAATGAAACTTCACACTTCGACAAAATAAATGTTTATGTTTACGAAAATGTGTTGATCTATAATCTTGTAATAATCATATGACGATGAGAAGCATTGTCTACGTATTTTTTGAATCACCCTCGTAAATGTGATGTGTGTAGGGAGGCATTCATCCAGTTACAGAACTTAAACGTAGCTTGACATAGTACTTAAAACAATTTTTGCTTAGTTTAAAAAGGGAAAAAGAAGTCTGGTCATCCAATTCAAAGATTCAAAGTGAGGCTGAAAAGTCAACCAACTATAAGACTAATGAGCATCAGACAATGGATTTAGAAAGAAACATCATTAGACATGCAGGGTTCTCCATCATTTGAAATCTTACTGTGTTGCGGAGTTTACGCGAAACACTAAACTTTTGCGGTATTTTCGCGATCAAATTCGCAACTGAATCACTATGTATTATAAGTACAAAAGAATACTTGCACACACTTATTTAAAATTCGTTTATTCGTTATACAAATGATATGGTCGTACATATTGATAAAAGTAAAATCACGTTCTGAATGCAGAGGAAATTCTGACCGATACAGTCGATTACTTAACATTTTTGATAGGAGATTGGCCGTGATTATTTGTCAGTTTTCTTTATCAAGTTACCGCATTTAAAGAAAGAAACTTTAGAACAGTAAAAAAAATTTTAAAAGTTCCTTGAACATGTTGAAAATTTTCAGCAGGTTATTTACATCAATTAAATGACTTTCGTACGATGTTATGTTTGACTTACAGGGCGAACATAATTCTAGCTCTATAAAAAGACATATTTAAATAGTTTTTAAAAATAATACGATGTATTTTATTGCAACTTCCAATTAACCGTAACATGGAAGTGTGAAAAAAAATTATTTGTTAGTGTTTCTTCATGCGTAAAGTCCGCCGAGTGTCTTGGAGATAATTGATTATGCAAGGTGAAGCCCTAGTAATTAACATAATTAAGTACCCTAATTTTCAGAATTGAAAGACGGTAAAATTGTTTTGTTAAAGCTTCAATTTTAGAGAAATTGTGTGTTTAGATTTTCTAATTATCACAGATCTTACTGTGTCGGCAAAACTTTTACTGTGTGGCATGCATAAAATTTGAAGATATGTAAAGTAAGCTACTAGTAACTGGCTACTAGTAGCTGATTACGACAAGTGGGTAAAGTTGGCTACTAGTAGCTGGCTACGAGAAGTAAGTGAAGTTAGCTACTAGTAACTGGCTACTAATAGCTGGCTACGAGAAGTAAGTAAAATTGGCTACTAGTTACTGGCTTCTAGTAGCTGGCTACAACAAGGAAGTAAAGTTGGTTACTAGTAACTGTCTACTAGTAAATGACTTGAACCTTCCTGTACCTTTTGTGTAAAATTATGCAAACTTGGGATACAAATGTTGATATTCTTGAAGTAGCTGGATTTTGACACCCCTGATATCCACTGCTATTGTTGATAAAAACAATATCTGAGCTTTTCCACTTTATCTGACATTAAAGTTACCAAGGAATCGTTATTAATAAACTCAGCTACTAGTACCTTTGGTTTAAAATTGTGCTATTTTGGGAGACAAATCTTGATATTCTGGAAGTAGCATGATTTTTACATCACTGATATAAACTGATATTGCTGATAAAAACAATTTCTGAGCATTTCCACATGTTCTTGCACTAAAGTTACCAAGATATCGTAAGTAATAAATTCAGCTGCTATTACCTTTCGTTTAAAATTATGCTACAGGTAAACTTCGTTATCTCGACATCGGCGGGACAATCCGGAAATGTCGAGATATCCGAGGTGTCGAGAAATCAGAGTTAAGACTCGACGTCCTTAATTTAAGCACTGCATAGTAAAACATGTATGTGTAACTACATACATTTTCAATAGACTGTAGCTCGTTTGTTTTAGCTAACTCTCTGTATTTCTTAGATAATCTGTGGAATTATTCACAAATGTAATTTAATAAAATGCTTCCCTTTTTATGGAAATCTTCTAATTTTACTAGCAAAAGTTTTCAATCCAGCTTTCCGCGAATCCGCGTGCAACTTGCTTTGTCAGAACAGGATACGATATGCGCTCTATAAACTCCCAATCGAAACGGTAAAAAGTCGACATCCGTGATACGGGAAAAAAACTCAATGCGTATTTTTTAAAGTTACTTCACTTCATTTCATTTTTATTTCATCGTCATTCGTAATTATTTCTTATTTCATTTTGAAATTAAAAATAAAATTTAAAAGGATTTGCGTATTAAAACAAGCTCAATGAAGCAACACATGCATGGATATCACAGCTGATGGTCGTGCGCATGCCATAGATTTGGATTGTTTCCTGTTGAATGCATTTTTACCACAATATCTAATTTTAATTGAATAAAATGTGCGTATTATTCATTATAATTCAGCTACCTTTTTTTTCTTTTTTTCACAAAATGTTAAAGTTATGTTAGATTTCGACATAAAAAAACGGTTGTATATTTACGCCGAATCGAGCAGATCTATCAATGATATTACGTACCCAAGTTAACCAGATAATATTAAACAATTAATGTCTAAGAGACACTGAGTGCTTGGGATTCCTCTACAAACAAATTATTACAGAAGCAGTATGTAGTCGAAACATGGGGGTGAAAGGTGTGAATTTCTGACGACGTCGAGATACACGGAGTCGTCCGTGCGTGACGAGCGACCAGCTGACAAACAATTAGGTTAAGTAAAGCAGAAAATTGCTCTGATGTCGACATAAATCAGGTAAATTTTGCTCTTGGGACTGTGAATATATGTCGAGATAAGCGGGGTAGTCGACATTACCGAGGTCGACATATCAGAGTTTTTGCAAATCATTTATATAGTAAATAATGCCGGGACCGTGGGCGGACGTCTACATATCCCAGGTTGTCGACATATCCGATGTCGAGATACCGAAGTTTACCTGTATTTTGGAAGACAAATGTTAATATACTTGAAGTAGCTGGATTTTTACATTACTGATATCCACTGATATTGTTGATAAAAACAATCTCTAAGAATTTCCACATGTACTGGCACTAAAGTTACCAAGATATCGTTAGTAATAAACCCAACTACTAGTACCTTTTGCTTAAAATTCTGCTATATTAGGAGACAAATGTTGATATTCTTGAAGTAACATGATTTTTATACCGCTGATATCAACTAATATTATTGATAAAAACAATTTCTAAGCTTTTCCACATGATCTGGCACTAAAGTGACCAAGCTATCGTTAGTAATAAACTCAGCTACTAGTACCTTTCGTGTAAAATTATGCTATTTTGGGAGACAAATCTTGATATTCTTGAAGTAGCAGGATTTTTACATCACTGATATACACTGATATTGTTGATAAAAACTATCTCTGAGCTTTTCCACATGTACTGGCACTAAAATTACCAAGATATCGTTAGTAATAAACTCAACTACTAGTACCTTTTGTTTAAAAATGCTATTTTGGGAGACAAATGTTGATATTCTTAAAGTAACATGTTTTTAAAACCGCTGGTATTAACTAATATTGCTGAAAAAAACAATTTCTGAGCTTTTCCACGTGATCTGGCACTAAAGTTGCTAAAATATCGTTAGTAATAAACTCAGCTACTACTACCTTTTGTTTAAAACTGCAAATCTTGGATACAAATGTTGATATTATTAAAGTACCTGGATTTTTATATCACTGATATCAACTGATATTGCTGATAAAAACAATCTCGTAGTTATTGCAGATCTCTATGATCTGGCACTAAAGTTACCGAGATATCGTAATTAATAAACTGAGCTACTGGTACCTTTCGTTTAAAATTGTGCTATTTTGGGATACAAATGTTGAAATTCTTGAGGTAGCTGGCTTTTTACACTGCTGATTTCAACTGATATTGTTGATGAAAACAATATCTGAGCTTTCCCACATGATCTGGCACTTAAGTTACAAAGATATCTGTAGTAATAAACTCAGCTACTAGTACATTTTGTGTAATATTATGCAAACTTGGGATACAAATCTTGATATTCTTGATGTAGCTGGATTTTGACACTGCTGATACCCACTGCTATTGTTGATAAAAACAATATCTGAGCTTTTCCACTTTATCTG